AAAATCACCAAGCTATGAAATGCTCAATCATCAGACTGACACTTACTGAAACTCAACTAGCGGTCTACTTTCCTACAAATCATGCATAGTTACTAGATTGATAACTGCACTATATAGGAATTTTTTTTTTAATCCAACAAAAACTACTTCTCCATAGCAACACAGAGCTTTGTACAGTTTCTAGTGCAGAGCATAGCTTCAACAAATGCTATTACTGTTTAGCAATACACAAAATAGCTGTAACACAAACTGCTTCAACACACTTGCACCCACCTCCCCCAAAATATCCTTTCTATTCTTCTTTGACTTTTGTTGGGGGGGGGAAGCCATAAACAGGAAGGCCTATAAGTATCACAAAAATGCCAACTCATCAACCTAAAAGGTCTGCCTTTCATCTGTCTGTCATTCACTTCCAGTACTCTATTTTGCTTACATTACTCAACTCTTCCATGACTCTATGATCCTGCACACACCCCACCTCGACCTTTCACTGAGTTAATCCCGTCTCATTCTGCAGATTTAATCAAATGTCACTTTCTTAGGGAAATTCTGAGTCACCCTAACATCAGATGAGGTTCCCCATTTAATAATTTCTTTTGAAACTCCCTGTGCCTTTTCCCTTGTAACATTCACTGCATTTTGTCCATGATGGGTGCTCATTTGGTCAATATCTTCCTTCCCACTGGACTGTTTCATGCCTCCTGTGATAACAGCCACTTTATTCCCCACTCTAGTCCAACTATTAGCATAAGAATTGGTACCATGTATCTAATAAAGACTTATAGAACAATGAATAACCCTAATTACACACAGACTAGCAACAAACTCAGTGTTTTTCAAACCACTGTTCACAGATTAGTGTGTTCAAACCTTAGTTATGACCAACACTTCTTTTAAATGAAAATGAAGAGACTACAATACAAATAGAGGGAAAAATCAGTAGCATATGTAGTAATCTGCATGAAACTATCATTTTCTTCATATATGTATGACCTTTCTAACTATGGGGGCAAGGTCCAAAAACTTTGAAAGTCACTGAACTGGATGTCCCAACATGACTCCTCCCAACTTCCCACCAAAATGCTAAGGTGCATAAAATGGCAAAATTGGCAACAGTATTAGAAAGAGGTAAGGAAAAGCCAAAATCAAGGCATTATTTCCACTAACTACACTCTGTGAAGGATGGGTAAAAAGAACGTGAATCTGAAAGACTCACATGGTACCTTTGGAAATTCAACAAGTCAGACACTCTGATGAATGCAGAAAATCCTGAGTATAACTCAGGAATGCAGAAGATACAACTGGCCAGATAAAGATGAGGACATCATCTCAACTACATGGGAGGCACCTTTCAAGCTAGCATAAGCAAGGGGACCCCAGGTGCAAATGAGGGTCAAAACTAACTAGAGACACATACAAAATATTGCTGTAGACTTTATTGCAAAATAGAATGAAAAATCTAAAGTCTATACTTGAAATTTAAGTTATACACTGAAATATATATACTGTATATATATGTGTGTGTATATATATGTGTATACATATATATATATTTATATAAAATGGAAATTGAGATGTGGCAAGAAGGCAAAAGATATAAAGTACAGTAAACTGTACAGAGGAGTGGGATCAGAAGTTATTTAGTTCTCCAGGAATCAGAGAAACACAGATTTTATGAATGTATTTGAAAAACAAAGATAATCACTAGTAAGCTAAAAACCAGATTTGGCCATTTTAAAATACTCTGGATATATGAAACAAATGATACATAGAAAAAGACAGAAAATACATCCAGAAAGCATGTTCGATTGAGCCATAGGAAGCTGCCATTTTTACAGGTCACAGCAGTAAAATAATTTCATACAGCTCAATACATCAACAGTGATAATTCAGCTAATCTGCTCAGTGTGCAAGGCCCTTCTAAAGCATTAACTGAAGATGTGTGTGTGCATGCTGCTTCTTTACAAATAAAAAACTGTAGTCCTAAAGATATTATGTAATTTATCTGAGACAATGCAGCTAAATACTGGTGGGAAAAAGCAAACCAGTCCATTTTAAAGTACCTCTCAAAACAAAAAACCTAAAGAATTAAGATCAAACTTTTTGGTCTTAACAATAAATCCCTTTAAGAGGTATGCTAAAATTCAATTAAATGATGCTTACAAGCAAAATTATATGAAAAAAAACAACAACATAAAAAAGAAAAAAGGAAAAAAACCAACAGATACCAAAAGTTTAAAATCAGGATTAGTGAAGTCATTTTAGACAAAGAAAAAAAGAAAACACTGGCAATATTAATATCAGGAAAATAGTAGAATGTAGTTCCAAATGCACAGAGGGTTATTTTATATTGATAAACATAATAAAGGCCTAACAGTAATCTTTATGTATTTAATACTATGTTAACACACAGACATTCCTATAAAGAAACTGACAAAAGCCCATTCATAGAGAGAATCTAAAGAACAATTATTAGTCTATGATAGCTCAAGTATAAAATCAGGACATAGAAGATGTGAATGATATTGCTGAATTAATAAATGCATCTGCACTTGTCACCTATAGAAACCATGCTGTTTTCCATCCTGAGAACAAAGAAACCCTTAAAAGACAATAAGTAAAAACTGTACAGACCTCAGTGACCATGAAAAATAAAACCAATAGTTGATGCAAAAGTTTACTTGTAAACAAAACAATAAAGCAATATTCAGCCAAGTCAAACTTGGCTGAATGAGCCACTAGTAGCATTCTCAATCAAGTGAGAATGCTTACTTTCCCTACACTGTTATAAGTTTTTAGTGAGTACATCAGCACAGAACATAGAAATAAAGCTAGTTTTATTATTTTAATTGCCACTTTCAGATTTTTATATGAACATTCCTATTCCTCCTCCCCCAGTAACTACAGATTCAAAATTTTAAAATACTGCTGATTATTTCAAAATCATTAAAAATAAAGTTGTATACATCAAAAATGACAACAAAGTCGATCTATGTCTAACTTTTCATTTAAAACAAATGACTTAATTTCAACTCAAGAAGTGAGAAAGAGGGACTTTCCTGGTGGCCCAGTGGTTAAAACTCCACAATTCCAATGCAGGGGGCTCAGGTTCCATCCCTGGTGGGGGAACTAAGATTCCATAAACCATGCAGCACAGACAAAAAAAAAAAAAAAAATTTAATTGTTTTTAAAAATGAAAAAAAAAAAGTGAGAACCAGAGTTCCGTCTATTGTCTTGACTTCCCCCTTCCCCCACCCGTCAGATCAGTCCATCGTTTTGTTTAATCAATGTCTCCCTCCTCTTTTATCCTCACCTCCCAGTTTCACTAACCTAACTCATCTTTCAAGCCTCCATATAAATGCCAGTTTCTCAGAGAAAGCTTCCTTACATTTGCAGGCAAGGTCAATCTCCATATGAGAGTCTTCCAGGACACCCTGCTTTCCTCCTTAATCCCAGTCACAGTTGGTGTTAGTTGTTCTCACTAGACTGTAAATCTCAGGCAGTCAAGACCTGTGTCTTATTTACTGTAATACGCTCAGGAGGTGGCAAACATACTGATTTTTGTATTCAAGAAATTTCAGTTCAAACAAAATTTTAATTCAAAAAATTTGAGTTCTACATGCAAGGTATTATACTAAGCACTGGGAAGACAGCAGTAAATAAAATAGGATTTTTTTTTTTTCAGTTAATCCTTTCCCTTATCTAAGAAGTAAAAAGAAAATGAATGCAATGGAGAAGAAAGTATCAGGCAGGCTGTATAAATGGGAACCTGTAAAATGGAAATTTTAAATGTAGTGATAATTAGAAAAGGCTGCACTAAGAAGGTGACGTGAATTAAGACACGAAAATGATGATAAAGCAACCACAGGGAAACCTGGAGACAGAGAATACCAAGAAGAGGGGACAGTCAGTGGCAAAGGGTTAGAAAACAGTCTGCTCTATAGGTAAGTTCATACTTGGAGCCTGCTTAAAATAAGGACAGAACTCTGGGAACATCACCACAAGGCCTTAAACAAGTAAAAAAGCCAACAGAGACAGGAAATAATTAAATATGATACATAGTCAATATTGTGACTATCATGTGGTCGATGGAAATTTAAAATGAAAGATTTCAGTAGTATGTGTACTTAATATTCAGCATGATCAAATATTTTAAAAACTGCAAGAGTTATCCTGAAATGGAATAAGGGAGTCATCACCGAGCAGTGAAACCATGATGAGTCTCCTGGACTTTTCAAATACCAAAATAAGCATGTACTGCTTTTACAACTTTCAAACGGAAATGAGTATAATTTTAAAGACTCATAATGGCCTAGAGAGCAAAAGGCTGATAACAGATTCCCCTTGCTCTTACTACAAAAAGGCAGGCCAATATAATTCCCTGACATTTTGCTGTTGTTCAATCTTAAGTCGCGTCTGACTTTTTGTGACCCCATGGACTGCAGCCCATCAGGCTCCTCTCTCTATGGGATTTTCCAGGCAAGAAAACTGGAGTGGATTGCCATTTTCTTCTCCAGGTCATTTTCCTGACCCAGGGGGTCAAACCCACGTCTCCTGCCTTGGCAGGCTGATTCTTTACCACTGAGCCACCAGAGAAGGCAAGCCAATATAATTTCTTGAAATGGAAATATTCAACAAATTCTTAATTTAAAATGGGCTTTTTTTTTAACCAAGTAAAGAGCAAAGTTGTACTAGATCCTATTTTTAACCTTCATCAAGCAATTAAAGTTTAAATTTACTTGACCAAAGTTTATAAATCGCCATGACAAACCTGTTGGTGTTTCTCAAAGTCTGGTCTTTAGACTGAGAGGTTTTTGGCTTGTCTTTTATTACAGTGATGACAGTAATATGCACAACACTTTTGTTATTTCAGCAAGAAACTACAACTATATTTGCAGCTCCTCTCAGGCCCCAAATCACCACCTACTTTCTGATTCTTTTCAGGATTTATTTTCCCTTGCCGGAATGGATTGTTTCAGAGGCTTTTATTCCTCTCAAAGGAACATCAAACTGAAACTCTATCTCCTTTGTATCATCCCAGAACCACCTCAAGAGAAGCTCCAGTGGATGATCAGTAAATGTCTGACAACTGACAAAGCTATCTTAACCACCTTCCGCAAAGAATTACCTGAAGAATCAAAATGTGCCTTATTGCCCTTGTTAAGACACCTAGTATGTATAGCAAAGGGCAAGAATCCTTTCACAATGTATACATGTGTCAAATTATCTCATTGTACATTTTAAATGTATTAGTTTTATCAACTATAACTCAAAAAGGCTAGGAGAAAAAAATTTAATAATTTTAATTTTTGTTTTTAAAAATTAAAAAAAAAAATGAGAACCAGAGTTCCATCTATTTTCTTGATTTTTACCCCCTCAAACCAGTCCATCATTTTCTTTAATCAATGTCTCCCTCCTCTTTTATCCTCACCTTTTAAAGACAGAGTATCTATCACTCTTCTCGCTCCAAAACTTCTCTCCAGCTTACCACATAAATTTCACTGGTATTTACTCTGACATATAACAATTACTCCTGAATACTGCCACGCTTCAGCTTTTCCGCTAAACTTCAAACTCAAATTTCCAGCTGAAAATCTCACTGACTCACTGGAATGATCCTCACATTCTCATGTCCCTACTCGCTGCTAAAGGCTTTGATGTGCCTTTTTTTGATCCCCAACAGTTCCCTGAACCCTTGTTAGTCCTTCAACATGGACCCAAAGCAGACCACCACTGGACCACAAATTGCAACCTGTCACTCACATGCAGCTCCCAGGCCTTCCTTATGACGCTTCCGTGTAGAATGACATTCTCAACCCACTTGCCACTGAGGCCAGAATACTGCTGCAAATCCTTCCTCTCCTCCAAGGCAGTTACTCTCTCTGTCCTCAAATATTCAGATGGCATTTCGTTTAAACCTCGGTTTACAATATTTATCACTGTACTCCTGATCTCAGGCATCTTCATCCATGGCTCTCCATGTTGAGGAGCTACTTGAGAGCAGGAAACCACACTATCTTAGTGCTTGCTTTTCCTTTAAAAAAATTTTTAACACCGTAATGTCCTCAGCCAAGCATAGCGACTGTTCTCAGTAGCGCACAAAGTCTTTTAGCTCGTGAAACTGAACTGACAAGGTCCCAGAGAAAGGGAGAAGAGCAGAGATCCCACTGAATCTGGAAACCCAAGTCATCCTGCCCTAGACTTTGAACCTTCTTGTCCCTATGTCTACTCAGAAAGTAAAGCAAGCAGTTCTCTGTGAAATTACAATAAACCCTGAGTACAGAATGAATTTCTCCTTTTCTCCACATGACTATAATCCCTCTCCCAACAAATCACAGTCCAACATGGCAAAGCAGTCCCTTAACAAAAGGCAATCCTCTTTCAACTGTGCTGCTCCCTCCGTAGGAGCTCTTCATCCTTATCATCTGCAGACTGCCGGCTTCCAGGGGGCCCTTGTTAAATGCTCGCACAATGAAACCTGCCTATAATAAGTAACTCCCCCTATCTGCTCCGCTCCGGAAGCGGTTGATAGTGCAAAGCACGGCAGCTGGGCAAGGCCTAACAAAAGGTTCAAGGATGCCAAACACGTGCTCCTAAAGGCCCCTCCTCCCCTGCCTGAGGCCCGATGAAACACAGTCCTGGTAGAAATAACATTCCAGGCAATATTTGCTGCCCAGGTTGTCATGCAGCTGAAAATCATTTTGTTGGTTACACTCATAACCTTCCTATTTCTGAGACAAAAATTATTCTTTTTTAATTGGAATATAGTTGCCTTCTACTGCTGTGTCAGTGTCTGCAGCACAGCAAAGTGAATCAGACATACATATACATATAATTCCCTTTTCTGAATTTCCTTCCCATTTATGTCACCACAGAGCACTGAGTCAAGTTCCCTGTGCACAGTAGATTCTCAGATAAACAGCTATGTATTTTATGCATAGCATCTATAGTGTATATATGTTCATCCCAATATCCCAATCCATCGCCCCCACCCCCACTTTCCTCCTTGGTATCCATGTTTGTTCGCTACATCTGTGTCTCTATTTCTGCGTTGCAAATAAGACCACCTATATATACCATTTTTCTAGATTTCACATATATGCATTATATATGATTTTGCTTTTCTCTTTCTGACTTACTTCACTCTATATGACCAGTCTCTGGGTCCATCCATGTCTCTGCAAATAACACAGTTTCATCCCTTTTCATGGCTGAGTAATACCCCCATTGTATATATGTACCACATCTTCTTCACCCATTCCTCTGTTGATAGGCATTTATGCTGCTTCCATGTCCTGGCTATTGTAAATAGTGTGGCAATGAACACTGGGGTGCATGTATCTTTTTGAATTACAGTTTTCTCTGAGTATATGCCCAGAGGTGGGATTGCTTGGTCATACAATATCTCTATTTTTAGTTTTTTAAGGAACCCCCATACTATTCTCCATAGTGGTTGTATCAATTTACATTCCCACCAACAGTGTGGGAGGGTTCCCTTTTCTCCACAATCTCTCCAGCATTTATTGTTTGTAGATTTTTTGATGATGGCCATTCTGACAGGTGTGAGATGATACCTCATGGTAGTTTTGATTTGCATTTCTCCAGTAATCAGTGATGTTCAATATCTTTTCATGTCTTTGTCGGCCATTTCTATGTCTTCTTTGGAGAAATGGTCTATTGAGGTTTTCTGTTGGGGACAAGAATTCTTAATTGAGTCATAGCACACTGTTCCGATTCAGGAAGAGCCATGCAGGTTCCTGGGACCTCAAATGTCTGGCCTGTGATGGCAGCCTCATTCACAGCTTCTCTGAAGCCAACAGAGGCAGGAGGCAGCATGTGCATGCACAGACACACACCCCACACACATCAATATACTGGATTGGCCCAGAAGTTCATTTGGGTTTTTCTGTATGCTCTTATGAAAAACTCAAATGAACTTTTTGGGCCAAATCCAACAAATAAACACAAACATTTTTGGAGGTTTGTATAAGCAAAACAACAGGTATGGAAGGCTGTGTAACAAGTTGATGACAGAGGGGTTGATTACATCAGAAGAGAAAGCTTGAAAGAGCAAAGGGATATTACTCCATTTACGTTAGACACATCCATAGTTTTTGAATTATTACAAAATTCGTATCTTTCTATACATGAACACAGCATCTTATTCTGGCGAGAACACTTTCTATTGTGTTCAGAGCCCTGAGAGACTTAAAACAGGACAAGTAAAAGGCAATTATGAAGCAGAGTCACGGTGATGAGTCACTCATCACAGAGTCACTCAAAATAGGTCTAACTTCCTACCAAAGCTAGATATGGATTATTACAGGAAGCAAGTCATCAACTAAGTAAAGAACCTGAAACACAAACTGGGGCAATATTAAGACTATCTAAAATGAGAAGGAAGCAAGCCAGGGCTATGGATAAGACACAAAGTTATGTCTGTCTCTAGACTTAGCAACTGGTAAATCCAGGTAAAAACATTGCTAACTGATCTGAAAACACTGGGCCTAGTTTGAAGAAAACATTCCTGAAGTTGAAAAAGAACTCAACAAACAAGCTCCATATCTGAATATGTTTCAGAAGAACCTCTGTCATTAACATAATATGATAGAATGCAAGCTCCCTGAGGAAAAGGACTTTGTACATCTAGTTTCCCACCGTTCGGTTCCCAGTACATAGTAGGTGTGCAATAGATACCTACTGCATCAGGAGTAAATGAACAAATTCAGGATTAAGGAAGAAGTAAACTAATCTAGAATTAGTAACCAGATAGTATCAGTGCCCATTCTTAGCTTACAGGGGCTTCCCTGGGGGCTCAGTGGTAAAGAATCTGCCTGCAATGAAGGAGACATGGGTTTGATCCCTGGGTCTGGAAGAGCCCCTGGAAAAAGAAATGGCAACCCACTCCAGTATCCTTGCCTAGAGAATCCCATGGACAGAGGAGCCTGGTGGGCTGCAGTCCACGGAGTCACAAAAGAGTCGGACACGACTTAGCGACTAAAGAACAGCAACATTCTTATTTTACAGATATAAAAAGAATACAACTTTGACTCATTCAGCAATAACAACACTAGAAATAAAAAGCCTCTTGAGTCCCTCTATGTTGATCTCTTTTTTCTTTTCTGGGTCTCTTGGTTCATCTCTGAGGTTCCTCCCAGACCCTCATCTCCTAGGAGCCTCCCCTACACCCCTACACCTGAGGAGCAAGGGCCCCTGCTTGGTGTGCCCATAGTTCAGTTCAGTTCAGTCACTCAGTCGTGTCCGACTCTTTGCGACCCCATGAACCGCAGCATGCCAGGCCTCCCTGTCCATCACCAACTCCCAGAGTCCACCCAAACCCATGTCCATTGAGTTGCTGATGCCATCCAACCATCTCATCCTCTGCCGTCCCCTTCTCCTCCTGCCCTCAATCTTTCCCAGCATCAGGGTCTTTTCCAATGAGTCAGCTCTTCACATGAGGTGGCCAAAGTATGGAGTTGCAGCTTCAGCATCAGTCCTTCCAATGAACACCCGGGACTGATCTCCTTTAGGATGGACTAGCTGGATCTCCCTGCAGCCCAAGGGACTCTCAACAGTCTTCTCCCCCTGAGCTTATCTCCCTCATCACACTTGTTACCCTGAATTGCAATCATCCTGTTACTATGTCTATAGGCTCAGCTTCTTCTGGAGGGTAGGAACCCTGCTTATTCACCCCCACTCCCTGCCTCTATCTAGTACCTAGCACAATGCTTCGTTATAGCAGGGTTATAGTTCAGTGCTGCTAGGAGTAGAACAGAACTTGTTTCCTCTGACCCCAGATCATTTCTCCTTCCAAAGAGGCAAGGATATCTGTTAGGGCCAAGTTTCAGAATGAAGGCAGCTTGGGTATTGGTCAAGAAGAACCACTGAAAACATGGTCAAGTATAGAGGGCTTACATGAAGTCAAATCCAGTCTATTGTTTGAAATTCAAGAAAATGGAAAAAGGAAAGCTTGCTAAGAAGGAATGGTTCACAGTAGCCTTCTCTATATAATGAATCCTAAACCTTAAGACGCAAAGGCGCACATGACGGCCGTAATGAACAAGATTTCCCCTAACAACAGCTTCAACCCTGGAAATCCCACCCCAGAGAGGTCCAGAACCAGATTTTATTAGTCCAACTTTCTCTCTTTTAGAGGAAGAGGTGGTTTTGAAATCATTTTCCTTTGTCTCCATATTAAATAAAGCAAACAACCTGATTTACCTCATTCAGGCTTACACATGTTTGTCTTAGCACTGGACTAAATTTGAGAGTCTGCCCTGTCATTACACCACTTTTTAAAAATAGTACTACAGAAATAAAATTATAACCTAAATCCATGTAGTAGTAAAACAGTCCTCTTATTTCTGGAAGAAATTTGAATGTTACATGAACTTCAAAGTTAAAGTTTCTATAGTGCTGATTAGATGACAGGAGCCAACATCCAAGTACTGAGATAATTTTCTTTGCCCACCCCCCACACCCAAGTCAATAACAACATTACTCTGAAATCACACTAACCTGCTGGGGGGAAACAAAGGCCAATAAATTTAAATAAAATCACCACCATCGGCACTTCCCTTCTCCCTCCCCCGCCCCCAAAACAAGAAACTTTGGATTCCTTCAACTTAACTAATCACCTTAATTAATTTAATTGATTAAACTTGCAAACCCAAGTTTCCTTGTGAAAGAAAAAACACACTGTTGGGAGGATCATTCATTCAAACTGTATTCAGAAGACAGTATAAAGCAGCTGACCAAATCTTTCATCATCTTTCTCCTTATTGGCCCAGCACCCCCAAATTTGAAGGCAATTAGAAGAATAACTCCAGTCAGTTCCACTTCGGACATGCAGCTGAAAGGCTACCCACTCCCACCTTTGACAGGAGGTACTGGGACGTGAGAGGAAACCTCGAGAGCTGCTGGAAGTCTCTCCCAAAAGAAGCCCACAGAGATTCTTCCTGTCTGAGAGATACTGAGCTACACACCTCAGCTCTAGAGATTTAGTGGGAAAAAAAAACAAACAAAAAAAGCAGATGACCAGAAAAAAGGTTCTTAAGTATTCATCTACAGAACCAGTCAAGGCTTCCCTTGTAGCTCAGCTGGTAAAGAATCCGCCTGCAATGTGGAAGAACTGGGTTTGATCCCTGGGTTGGGAAGATCCCCTGGAGAAGGGAAAGGCTACCCACTCCAGTATTCTGGCCTGGAGAATCCAAGGACTGTATAGTCCATGGGATCGCAAAGAGTCGGACACGACTGAGCGACTTTCACTTTCACAGAACTGGTCAAGCTCCTTCCATTGGAGGTTAAACTTAATAAAGGCTCTGTGGGGCCTGTGTCAATCCTGAAGGTAACAGCAACGGTGTTTCTCCTCTCCCCTCAACCCAGACCTTTTACAAGGCTGTCAACACCATTTTTATACTAATAATAATTCTCTTCTGTGCTACAAATATTCAACTACTGTGGTTAAACACTATGTATAACACAAACAGGCTTAAGAATGTCAGTTGCCATTAGTCATGTTTAAATTAGTATTAACTAGCAGGCCCCTCCCTAAACAAAAACAGAATGAAACAAAAGGCTTTCTTGGTCAGCTCTGCAATTTTAACCCACGTGCTTCAAAGGACTCACAAGATCCAGGTGTAACACAATAACATCATTAATTTTCACTATATTAAATCTCTCAAAAGAGCACTGTCAATTTGGGGACAATATGGGAGGAGAAACCACATACCCTTTATTCTGTAACCTTTATATAATCTGCATAAGCTGGCAGCAGTGCCCTAAAACTCACTCGCCATTGAGTTTTACAAAGGAATGGAATGGAATCAGGGCCCAGGCACCTCTCAATCATTTCAGCCCTCTCTACACCCAGGATTTGAGACTCAGTGTCTTCCTGCATCATAGGGTTAAATCACACATGCCCCTCCACATCCCTAGGTAGCACAATTCCTTAAAACAATATCCAAGGTCCCCCACAATTATCACCTTATACCTCTCCAGCCTCATTACCCCAGATTCCAAAAGTAAGTTCATGCCCCACCATTCATCTTTTAGGGACAACATCATTTTCATCTTCAAGCTCCTCTGTGAATTCCTTCCCAGAGCCAGAATCCAGCTTTCCCTTCCCTGGCATGCCAAGGCTCTTGGACTCTACAGCTGCCACCTAGTTATGCAACCCAGCTGATATACACTAGAAGGTGGCTGTACCTTTTCCCTCTGTACTGCAGCTCTTTCGAGAGCCTTTTTCTCTTCCTTGTCTCTGCCACTGTCAAAGGAATTCAGTAACTACTTATTCAATTAAAATATCCTCCTTTTCTCCCAACCCTCCAAGGCATCCTTAATACCTCTCCATGACATCATTAAATAACACTCTACGGATTGGGAAGGTAATGTGATATGTAAAAATTAGAAACCAAACAAGATGCTGAGTTAGCAAGGCCAGAGCAAGCTCTCAGACTTTAAACCAAGTTTTACAGTATCACAGTTGACTTAAAATATATCATGTCCCTCAAATGTGTATACACATGGGTACCAAAAACAAAGAAAGAAAAGGAAAACAGGCCACACATCAAGCACAGATAATAAAATCGTGACCTCAAACAAAATTCAGGTCTTTATTTGCTGGACACTTCAAGCTTCCCAGTGAAAATGATAACCATATACTCCACACAGGTTGCAACTTCCCTGACTGAGCATCTGAAATAAGATTCTTGGGCCTAAAAATCATGAACTTCAGACTCACCGCCATTACGTATCAAAAAGGCGGTAATTACCAAGTGAGAGTTTTACTTTCTTTGAATTTTTCAGTAGGTCTTAACAGAATAGATCCAGTAAAAATCTGCAAAGTTTATGGCAAAGTCTTTCTTTTCTTAATCAAACTACTTTTCAGAAAAGGTTAGCTTCAAATAAAAATAGATGTTTTAAACTGCAGGTGTTAAAAGGGTGGCCACTTACATTCCCATGTCTGATATCTTTCCCCATCACTTGCAGCGATTCTGAGATCCACTGAGTGCCCATAGCTACTGCTCATCTCCAGCTGCTGCTGTTAAGTCGCTTCAGTCGTGTCTGACTCTGTGTAACGTCGTAGACAGCAGGCCACCAGGCTCCCCCGTCCTTGGGATTCTCCAGGTGAGAACACTGGAGTGGGTTGCCATTTCCTTCTCCAATGCAGGAAAGTGAAAAGTGAAAGTGAAGTCGCTCAGCCGTGTCCGACTCTTAGGGATCCCATGGACTGCAGCCCACCAGGCTCCTCCGCCCATGGGATTTTCCAGGCAAGAGTACTGGAGTGGGGTGCCACTGCCTTCTCCGCTCATCTCCAGACAATGATGCAAATGGGAAATAAGTCAGGTCAGACTATGGACTCCAGGTCAATTTTATGGTTAAGTAGGCTCACCCACTTTAAATAAAGTGGGTTATGGAAGACTGACTGGAGTGGGAAGGGAGCAGGTATTACTGATGTTCTTGTGGATGAGGAAAACAAAAAATACAGAGGAAAAATCAACTCCTGGCTCAGTTTTTTCCCCTCTCCTGGCATCTCCCACTGCTGGTTTTCTTACACCTTCTCAGCCTGCTTGCCCTCCCCCATACCTCCCAGACTAACCGGTTTATACTCCCCTTTACTCACTTCCCACTGTTCTAACATGGGATAACCACCCTCCAGTTTCTAGTTATCGGAAGGAGCTGGAAGGAACAGCAAAGATGATCAAACCCTTCCATTTTCCAGATGAGGACAGGGACAGGCAGAAGGACTAGTTGACCCAACTGGCTAAGGTCGCACCGCTAGGGGGCGTGGTGTGCCTGTGGTTCATTGTGATAACCCAGTCCTCCTGCTGGTCCTTCAGCCTGACCTTGCTGCCAAACACTACCTCTTTCTCTGGCTACTTGGCTTCTTTATCCTCAAATTAAACCGTATCAAGAAAAACGCAGCCCTAATAATGGTGATCATTATTCACAATTTTGCATTTGGGACAAATATGCTCCAGTCTCCCTGAATTGGAGAATCAAAGGCAGAAACAACCGGATGACATATGTGTGTTAACACAATTTAGTTCCGTCCAAATAAGCATAACTCCAGTACACACCCTTTTTCCTTGGGGCTTTACTACTCTTATCTGTCAAGGGAATAGTTTCTTAGGAGAAGGAACTTTGCAGGTTTTCCAGTGCAGTCTCCCTTTAACCGGAATTGAAAGCTTTGAATCACAGACCTCCTGCTTCATGGTTATAGTAGGCTGGGCAAATGACACTTAAGCAAATAGGTGAAAAACTCGGACTGTTAAAGCCTGAAGGAATAGAGGATTTTGCTCTCCTAACTGCAGTTACCTGTTTCAAGATTCATGTTTGTAAATATGAGTTTATTCAACAGAAAACAATGCATTCACAGTGAAACTTGAACAAGCCAGCGCTCACTGGAAACCCACGTTTACAAAAACACCATAGATTTCAACAAAAAGGAAAAGAAAGAAGTAGCAGCAGAGAGCAGGAACCTCAGGCCCCAGACTGAAGGCAGCAACAAGTCCTGGATACCGCCATTCTTACACATCGAAGTCCAAATCGCAGCAAAGAAAAAACAGCATAAATGGTAAGTCCATTCACAACAAATTCGTCCTACACACACACACACACACACACACAGGGAGCCCGTCGATTTCAAAACCACCAACTCAAAGCCAGGTCCCTCCCTTGCCTTAAGACTTCCCAGTTACTTGATAAACGTGTTTGTTAGGCGGGTGAGCAGAAACTTAAGCTTAAAGTCCTCAGCTGGGAGAGATGGCTGAGTGGGGGTGAGAAGCAAGTGGTGCGGGAGCCCGGCGCTGCGGGGCGCGAGGACCCCCGGCGGCCCACGTCCACTCGGACGCGGCTTGGGGAGGACGTCGAGCGCCCCCCGCCTGCCTTCTTGCGCCCCCACCCAGTCCCAGGTAAGCGGGGACCACCTACGTGTCACTTGGGCGGGTCCCGATCGCAGGCACAGCGTGGGCCCCGGGGCGCGCTGAGGACTGGAGGGCGGGGGCCCCGGGCGGCTCGGCAACTGCTCTCCCCGGGCTCGGTCAACTGGTTAGGGAGGCCGGCAGCGCCTCGCTCCTTCAGGCTGGCCCGCGGGCATGGACACCCACCCACAGCCGGCACAGGCGCGCGCGTATACACACAAACACACGCACCCACAGCCACAAAGCGCGTCTGCCGCCGGGCAGCGCGATCCCCGGGCGCCCTTTGGCCGCAGAAGGGACCCGGCGGCCGCTGGCTCTGCGCTCAGAGGGTACCGTCTCCCCGCGCCGCGCCCGCGCCTTTACCTGCGCCCGCCGCCGCCTCGCGTCCGGCTCCCGCCGCCCCCAGGCTGGCCTCAGGCTGCGCGGTCAATCCCCGCAGCCCCCGCCCCGCGGCCCGCCGAGCCCGGCCCTCCGCCCGCCCCTCGGCCGTCGCCCGGAGCGGGGCCGCCCCCTGCGCCCACCCCGCCGGGGTCCCGCGCGCGGCCGGGAGGCCGGGAAGGGCTCGGCAGCGCGGGGACCCTGGCCGCCCGAGACCCGGGCGGGCTCCGCTGGGGGACAGGGGCGTCGCGGTTCGGGGAGCGTCTGCCGCCGCTCGGCCCGGAGTGCTCCGGCTTTGGCGCGCTGGCAGGGGCGGCGGGGGAGGGGGCGCCGAGGGAGGGCCACGGGAGCCGCGCCGACGCCAGCCGCCTTCTTCCTCCGCCTCCTTTTCTGCTGGCTCCACGTAGCACAAGTCAGCAAGTCCTGCACCTCTTGACTCCCTCCCCCTGGCTCATCCCCTTACCTGGCGCGACGCCCCCCGAGCCCCGACCCTCGGCGCTCCTCCTCCCCCATTCAGTTGCTGGACCCCCAGCCCCGTCTGCAGGGCGGGGGCGGAGGGCAGCTCGAGCCTCCCATTCATTATCTTCCCAGCGCCCCCCCACCCGGAGAGGACCCACCCGCGGCCCGAGACCCTAGGGCCTCCAACTCCAGCTCCTCACCCGCCACCCGCTCCCGCGCTCACCTCTGCGACCGGCAGCTTGCGGGACTAGGGTGGCCACCCCCACACGTTGCATTTTCATTTTGTCGCTCTTTTCTTCCCACTTGAAAAGCTCTGGAAGACATCGCCGGGCCCGCGGAACCCCTAACGTCTGGCCTCTGGCGTAGTTCAGTGTCCAAACTTTCCAGCAGGCACAGTTCTCCCAGCGCAGCTTTTAACTCGAAACTGCGAAGAACGCGGAGTCAATTTTGCTGCCGGGAAGGTGCACACGTTTCCATTTCTGAGTTTGCGACTGACTGGGTCTGCAGACCAAAGCGAGTGTGACTGTGCTCCCCTTGTTCTCCATATCCATGATTATAAATTTCTCTTCCGCTTTCCCAGTTTGCACTTGCACTTCGCCAAGCCAAGTGCAAACTATCAATTTTAGAAGAGTAATTAAGGGCGGGGAATACACACCTGAAGGCGTGGGCGGGAGCGGTGCGGGACTAAGGCCTGGGGATCCTTATCCGGAAAGAGGCAGCCGGAGAGACTCGCCCGGGTTCTGAACACCACCCAGTCCACGGGGCGGGGGCCACGGGTAGGACGCGAGGGCTCTCCAGCCGCGTCACCCCCTACCACCTACCACCCTTGGCTTCCAGGAGTGTTGGCAGTTCTCTGCCTCTGGCTCCACTGCTAAAGCCGCAGCACAACAAAAGTGGATGCTTACAAGTAAACACTGCAGACTGGCCTGAAACGGCACGTGGGGGCCACTCTCCCGGTACGGTAGGGAACTTGGCAGGACTGATACAACTACCTGTAAGAAAGAAAGGCAGAACCGCGAGGGAGGGCTGCGTTGGTGCCGGTCACTCGGTAACCTAGGGCTTTGCAGAAAGAGAGGTCACTGGAAACCACAACGAGTGGGGAGGGGAAGACTTCCTGGAAGGGATGAGAACTTCTCAAGCTTCCAATAAGGTATAGCTTCGAAAAGAACATGACCATCTCCCGCAAGTGACTGCTGAGAACTTTGGGTGAGTTGGTCTCGTGGTTTTCACAGGATGCTCAAGGCTAAGAACCAGACTGCTCTGCAATTACTATCTGAGACTGTTTCCTTTTTCAAACAATGTATCAAATCCCCTTTGTTAAAAAAAAAAAAAATCAGCTTTAAATGACTGCCTTCTCCCCTTTCCTACCAATTTATAATTTCTTTTATAATAATGTGAAAAATTATAAATTTTAATACATGCACGGTGCTAGAATGTTCATTTACAGCATGCAGAAAGTTTATAAAAACTCTTATCACACGAACAGTGAGAGCTGATCTTACACCAGGACGAATAGGAAAATATCCACTATATAATCTAAGTATAATACAAAGTATATACTGGTAAGAAAAGAAAGAATATACTTGAAAGGGACTTTTGTTTTCAACTATATCTCTACCCAACTCAGAAAACTCACTTAGCTAATTTTCCTGTCTTTCTACTGCACACTCAGTATTTACTGTTGGGTTTCTCAATACTAAAACTTCTATATCTAGTAAAAAGAATACTTTAAAATTGTATTGAATTTTATTAAAAATACTTATATTAATTATAGCAGTAAATAGTATCAAATAATCATTTAATTAATTTACAAGTTAATTATTTCAATGTTTAGGCTTTCCTCATAAATCAAAGGTAAAGTGTGAATGAGTTTCTTGCTGAGCCCTCAGCTTGAATGTTTTCCAATATATTTATTTTTTTCCAATATATATATTTCACCTCCAATATATTTATTTCAAGAATATGGCTGCTTCTGCTTTGACTACATATTAACTGACCAAACTACTCTCTGGTCCTTTCTAACATCAAATGAGGAATTCTGTCCATACAAGATAAGTATACAAGAGTTTCCAATTTATTTGCTTTAAAAAAATTTATTTCCTCTTTATTGGCCTACTGTCCTACTGTGGTCTAGAATGAATTAGCAAAGTACAAGGTCAGCCTGGACAGACTTGTCTCCCTGACATGTGTAGACCTGCCTGAATGAGACTGCTCTGCACCCGGGTTTCATTCAATAACTTTAAAATCAACTCTAGGTCATATGCCCATTTGTAAACAGAGAGAGAAAATGGAATCCAATACAGAATCCCGTTCATTACAGAGATTAATCCATCAAAACAAGTATTACATTCCAAACAAGTCAGTTTTCTCTTCTGTAAAATGGGATGGTAATACTAATTCAGTCTACTCTATTGGGTTCCAAGCTGCCTTTATCAAAGTAAGATAATACATTTGAACAGACTACAGACACAAAAGTATGTGATGTGATTTCACCAGAGATGCAGAAGGATATCTTGATATACTCTCTTTAATGTTTTTATCTGTCTGTGGCCCTCTTGCCATTCAAACTGATTCCCTTTCTTGGATAGGCAACTTAATGCTTTTTGTCCTAACATTTCTCTCTCATCCTCTGCCAAGCAATCTTTCTCTAGGTCTGTTTCTTCAAATGACTTCAGCAGACTGAGAGACCCAAAGACAGTGGTGCCATCAAACATGAGAAAAAATATTTTTAGAAAAATGAAAAGAATCTGAGTGGGGAATACTTCCAGCACAGTTTACGTTAATATCTTAAAGGATAACAGTAGACTTTGTCAGGTTATTGCTGTTATTAGTGGTCCAAGGACTATAATTTGCAAAGCATTTAGGACTGAAACACTGGCTGTCACTACTTTGGGCTCTATGATCTGTTCCGAAGGGGCTACTGATCATGCCAGTTCCCTCTGCCTCCCCACATTTCTTCCATCTGGCAAAAAGCCTTTGAAATTTTTTATTAGAGAGTAATCAAAACTATCAGCAAAAGAGATCTGTTGCAAACTTTCCCTCCAGTCTATGAATGTAGAAAGTATATTCTGGTGAAACAACACCCTGAGAGAACTCAGCCTGCTTGGGAAAGTTTTTCAGGTGCCTCTCAGACAGAGGTTTCTTCCTTTTTAAAATAGTATATTTATGCCTCTCTGGTGTTTTTCCCCTTGATCAGAAAGAAATCATTCTCCTTTGGAAACCTTTCTATTTGAAAAGGCCAGTGGCAGAGGAAGGTGAGGCAGCCCAGTGTAGTAACAATAAATAAAACTCTTCAGGGTAGTAGCGACATCTGGAGACTCTCGAAACGGGGAATAGAAGATGGGATTGTGTGTGCAGCAGCCCTGAATGAGGACCAGACTGCAAGGAAATGAGAGCCCTAAACAGAGTGACTCTCTGCTCACCATTTTCTTATCACCTATTTCTGCGTGAATAATCCGGGTAATGTCTGAAGTAGATCAAGGTCAATCAATCTTTTTCTTGTAGTCTCCTTCAAAATGGTGTTGTGGTTCGGGAATGAAGAAGAAAATATATAGTTGTGCTATATATAATTTTAGAGCTAAAAATAGACCTAAATATTAAAAAAAATCATACAAAGGGTCACAAAACAAAAAGTTAGTTTTATAAAGCAATAATAAAGCTAGTGGATTTATAGGTGGCACCACTGGTAAAGAACCTGCCTGCCAAGGCAGAAGATGTAAGAGACATGGGTTCAATCCCTGGGTCAGGAAGGTCCCCTGGTGGATGCCATGGCAAGTCTGGCATGCCAAGTCCAGCATTCCTGCCTGGAGAATCCCATGGACAGAGGAGTCTGGCGGGCTACAGTCCACAGGGCCGCAGAGTCAGACACGACCAATGCAACTTAGCACACACACAGTAGACTCATAGTGGGAAAGACAGAAAAGAAGCAAGACTATGCATAAGATTATAATTATACTTTTGCCATCACTTCATGGTAAATAAATGGGGAAAAAATGGAAACAGTGAAAGAATTTATTTTCTTGGGCTCCAAAAATCACCACGGAGGGTGACAGCAGCCATGAAATTAAAAAGATGATTGCTTCTTGGAAGAAAAACTATGACAAACCTAGAGAGCATACTCAAAAGCAAAGACATCACTTGCCAACAAAGGTCCATCTAGTCAAAGCTATGGTTTTTCCAGTAGTCATTGTATGGATGTGAGATTTGGACCATATAAAAGGCTGAGCACCAGCCTTTTGAACTGTGGTGCTAGAGAAGACTCTTGAGAGTCCCTTGAACTGCAAGGCGATAAAACCAGTCAATCCTAAAGGAAATCAACCCTGAATAATCATTGGAAGGACTGATGCTGAAGCTGAAGCTCCAATACTTTGGTCACTTGATGCAAAGAGCTGACTCCTTGGAAAAGACTGTTGCTGGGAAAGATTGAAGGCATGAGGAGAGGGGGTGACAGAGGATGAGATGGTTGGATGGCATCACCAACTCAGTGGACATGACCTTAAGCAAATTCTGGGAGATAGGAGAGGACAGGGAAGCCTGGCATGCTGCAGTCCACAGGGTCACAAAGAGACGGACATGACTTAGCAACTGAACAATAACAACAGTACATATTGTAACAGAGGTAACTACAATATCCATTCTTGCCTTTTAGGATAGCAGTTAGATTAGATTTCCAGCCTCTGTTGCAGTTAATTAAGCCCACATACCTGAGTTATCGCCTGTAGAACTTGAGCTTGAGTGACTTCTGTCGATTCTAGGATTGCCAAAGACTCTTACGTGTGCTCCCTCAGGTTCTCTGTCCTTGTTGCCGAGGATGGTGATGCCCACGCCAACCTTGGAAGCCACCGATCAAAGATGACAGGCAGCCAAACTCCTGATGCTTGTGTGTCCACGTGGGGGAGAGCCTCTCTACCAATGTGAACATCTCTCTGGATTTTAATATGAAAAAGAAATTTTTTGTTCTTTGAGCCACTATATTTGGGGACTCTGTTACCTTGGCTTAACTGATACACATGTATGTATATTATACATATTATACACATGTATGTATATTATACATATTATACATACATACATACATATATTATACATATACATGTATAGACATACATACAAAATGTCATAGACATTTTGACTATAATCTCAGGGGTTCAATGATACCCTGTAACCTAGACTGTGGC